CATCCTTATAGCCCTTTATAAGTCCATAACTGAACATTGGCCTCCCCCTAGGAATACCACAAAGCACAGTCCTGAGCCACCAGCGTATATCGACTTCCTGTATATCTTACCATATTGTGTGGGTGGCTGCCCTACACTTTGGCTACCGGCACAAGGCTGCCACTTGAGAAACTTTCTTCTTCGTTGGTTGTCGGTTCCTCGAGCTGTATTGACAGTACATTGCAACTTCAGATTATTAGTCCGCTATGTCACTTACTCTGGTTCTACTGCAAATACCCTCATTTCTAAGTTTATCATGTGGTAAATCTCTGAGCACAGCTCACTCCATAGCACTCTAAGCGACCTTGAGCTTCCTTATATGTCCAGCAGTAAACCACATCTCAGATCCATATGTGTCACTGTCAACACATATAAGTACAACTTTGTAGTTGCAATTAGTAAATAATCCAATACCTTACATAACCCACTATTGTAATGTGCCTCATTAATATGTCATTTTTATTTATAGGTATTCTGATGCCCATGATGCCATCTAATTTATAAAATATTAAAATGATGCAGGAGGATTTAGGAAACATTAAAATGATGGAGGTTAAACATTTTTGAGGTGTCAACACACCGCAAAATTTTTGAGAGATGGTAAGTGATATTTTTAAGTGAAGGTATATTCAAATATATTTATTTGACTGAATATTTTGTGTGTTACACTCGATGACTTTTATTAGATACAGTTTTAGTGTTTTAAGTAAATGATACTTTATGATTCTCGTTATATTTACTCGAAAACTACACATTGAATAATACTACTTGTACAGATATTATCGCGTTGAAGTTCGTTGATTTTGATTCCCGAAATTTCAGGTGCTTTACAGCATGGTTATGGGGGACTGAGGTGATTGGCTTCCCAATATCAGTGTTACCCAGAGTATGTTCAGCTTTTAAAAGCTGGAAAGCACCCGAAATTCAATTAAAATCAACTAAATGAAATGTGATAAAAGTAGTTATATTAAATAATACATTTTTAACCCTACACTTGCATAATAATTTTTACAATGTTTAAAAACATAAGATGGCATTTCGACTTTTAATAAATTGTTTTATGGCACTTGACATAACTAGTAGCAGTAACACTAAATGGTGTGTGACTGACTTGACTAAACTCCTGACAATTCTCTTTCATATGCCTGATCATTTAAGGCGCATATTATGAATGTACAAAGTGAGATTTTTTTTAGTCAGAATAGAATATCTAAATCATGCAAATCTGATGGTAACTGAGGAAAGAGTTATTTATATTTCATCTATTTTCAGTATTCCTGATTATAATATATATATTTTGATACATGCAGAAATGCCCATGCCATCTACTTCTGGAACTGATGAACATAAGGAGGATTGACACAATGAATATCAATATAGGGAAATATTCATTAATACTTTTCTCACATATTTTTCTTATTATATAAACAAGCAAATTAAAGTAGCTATTAAGATACACCTATCTATATTATCCTGTGTTTATTAATGGACATTTCGACAGATTGTAGAATATCTAAAAATATAGCCATATCTAATATCTAAACAGGCAACCAAAAAAGTAGAATGTGAATGCTAATCTGCCAGGTACAATAGTAGATTGTTTACAAGCTGATGTGAAGTCAAACAATTGAACTATTTTATTAATTAAATTGTAATTCTCACTTGTTTATGTTGGATTTTATTTTATGAATAACTTATATGTGACCATTGAAAAGTTAACCCTTAGTGAGTGATTGTATCTAAAAAGGACCTTTGCAACTCACTCAAAAGGACTCACACAATGTTAAATAAAATGCTACTATGTTTATCAACTCATTATTACTTTTTTTAAATAAATTTTATATTTGTTGCAGGTTAAAAACTGCCTAGGAGCACTCCGCTTAAATAGCTTAAGCTTTGAATATTGCTGCACATTTGGTAAATGGGGGAGCAACAAGCACAAAACATAGATACTGCAAAGAGAAAAATTTGAGAAAAATTGTTACATCAATTGAATTGGATATGTGACCTATGTGCAAAGAACCATCAGTTCCTTCGATAAAAAATTAGATTGTAATCATAGAGGTTTTAATGGCTGTGGCAATATTTAAAAGAAATTGATGTTTTGCGCCAGGAAGCAAAGAATTTGCTTGCACTTGTAAATTTACACTCAAATGTAAAAATAAAAGACAATAAATATTTCTGTATTTTATTTCTTTATATCTAAATAAACGTTAATAATGGTTTAAATTTATGTACTTGGTCACATTGTGAACACATACATAAGTTTAAACCAATAAAAATAAATTTTCAAAGTTTTGGGAGGATTAATTACAGCCACTAGCTACTTGGCTGAAACAAATAAATGCCTTTGCCTTAGATAAATTTAAAAACCTAAATGTCACTTTCAATTTTTGAGGCTCGCTATAGACCAATTTTTTAGTATGGAAGATTGTCGTCTGTACGTTAGTACTCTCATTAGATTGTGGTCAAGTCTATTTAGGGGAATATGAACTTTGAATATCTTATGTTTTTGTCTCGACAAATTCTTAACGGCTATTTCGTCTCTATACCACGTATAAATAAATATTTGATAAGGCTTAGTATCTATGGCTTCCTTAAGAATTGGAATACCATCGGTATCTATTTTATGTGCTGCATGTCTTGTAAAAGTGTGTGAGTTATCAACTGCTTCGGGTGCTGAAATGGTACTACTTGTCGGTGAAGGTGTCGAATACGGTGATTTATTGCTCTTAGCGAATAGGATCGATAAGGACCTCTCCTTATCCGATGATATTTCCATCGGACTTGTGTCCTTATTTTGTAATCTTTCAATTTATTCGATTAAGCTGTCTATGTGTCTTTGCAGTTGTTCATCCTTATCCACGTTAACCTTCATTGATTTTTGTTCTTCTCCCAGAGCGTTTATCTTAACACGGGATGAGGCGTCGGCAACAAAATTTTGTTTCCCATTTTTATAAACGTGTCATCGAACTCAGCAAGCCGCAACTTCCATCTCGTGAGTTTTCTGTTGTGTTCTTTGATAGAATTTAACCACGCAAAAGGTCTATGATCTGCGAAAATGGTAAATTTTCGGCCATATAGGTAGGGTCTAAATGTTTTTACGGCCCATACTATTGCCAACAGTTCCTTCTTGATAGTATTGTATCTGGTTTGTGCATCATTTAAAGTTCTACTAGCGTAAGCTATTGGTTTGTCGGTTCCGATGGCGCCTTGGGGTAATACTGCTCCTAGAGCATAATTTGAGGCATCAGTGGTGAGTACGAATGGTTTCGAAAAATCCGGGAATTGGAGAATGGGTGCGTTTACCAAAAATTTTTTGCATCTCTCGAAAGCGGCTACATACTGTTATGTAATTTCAATCTTATTCCTTTTCTTGAGACAATTGGTGGTTGGGTAACTTTAGCGAAATATTTAATGAATTTGTGATAATATCCTACTAGGCCAAAAAATCTTTGGATATCGGTGGCGGTTCTTATTATCGGAAAATCTACTAAAGCTTGGATTTTGTCATTATTTGGCTTGAGTCCGTCTTTTGTTATTGTATGGCCTAAATAGAGGACTTCTTTTATAATAAATTCACATTTATCTAGGGTAACTTTGAGATTTGTTTCCCGTAGTCGATCTAATACCATTTTTAACTTTTCTATGTGCTCCTGTAGACTTGAAGAGTATGCAATTATATCGTCGAGATATACTAAACAAAGCAACCTTTGCAAACCTCTCAAAACGTTATCCATAACATGCTGAAATGTTGCGGGGGCTGTCTTTAATTTGAACGGAAGGCGTGCAAATTTGTAATGGCCAGACTAGGTTGTAAACGCGGTTTTGTGTCTATCACTTTCCTCAGCTTCTATTTGGTGATATCCGCTTGCCAGATATAACGTTGTAAAATGAATGGATTTTCCTAGTTTATCAAACAGGTCTGAGATATTTGGCAATGGGTGCTTATCATCTATAGTGATCTCGTTCAAACGCCTATAATCAATTACCATACGATATTTTCTTTCACCTGAAGCATCGAGTTTTTTGGGAACCAGGTGGACAGGTTCGCTCCAAGGCGAGTGAGATTCTTTAACCTCCTGAGTACCAGACACGCTTTTTTTTAAGTTTCTTCTTAAAACTTTAATATTTCACTGTTTGACCATTACTTAGTACGGGAAAAATATTTAAAAAAATCTATGACAGGAAAAACGGGGTTTTTACTATGTTCTACACAAAGTACAAGGGCACTTAACTATTATGAACTTCGTATAAGATGTTACGAATTTTTATAGCATATTGAGCAGATAAGAGCAACAAATAATAGATTTTTGAATAATTTTAATATGTTTTATTAAAATTTTCTAAATCAACAGAAATTAAACTTTTCTTCATAACATAATATTTGGAACAAACTAAATTCTTCTTATAAACTTACTATACTTTAATAATAAAAACATTAGACATCAAAAATTTTTTCTTAAGCTATTCCAGCAGAAGAAAGGTTAACGGTAACTTTGAGGTAAATAAAAACTACATCAATTACTTATTTAAACAAAAAAACTTTATTAATCAGAGGCATAAAATTTGCAATATCACAATCATCTACAGAGTAATTTGACACATATGATTGCACAGTTTCGTTCGACCGCAGGGGAGACATAATAATATCATAAAAAGATTGAGTAGATGTAGAGGGTGCAGAGGGATTGCAATATTGTAGTGAAAGTAAACGAGGTGGTGGTGGTGGTGATGGTTGAGATTGTGGTTGGGTTGTAGACATTATTGGCTGAGGAAGTATACGAGCTGGTGCTGGTTGGGCTGGGGATATTATTTATTGCGAAATTATACGAGGTTGTTGTGGTTGAGGAAGAATTTATGTTGCAGTAACTATTATAGTTACTTGAAGATTGTGTATAATATTTTAGGGTGTTCAAAATCGCAATCTGTGCATCAATTTTCTGATCTGATGGAATACTTTAATAATGGAACCAAAGATAACGCGAAATAATGGTCTGGGCCTGGATGTCTTGGTGGTTGGTTTTATCTCTTAATATGTCTAATAAAGATTCTTCGTAACTTTTGTTCTTCTTCTTTTCTTTTGTTGGTCGTGTTATTGCTGGTGTAGAAGAATCGTTCTCACTAATTGCTTCTTTGTCAAGCGATGTCACGTTACTTGAGGTTTCTCTCACTGGCTCCATAGAAGGTACCAAAAACAGTAACTTATTAAAGTACACGTATCGTTTTCGTTTAGGTGCAGCTTGCCCTGATTTTACGTCTTTTTGAGAACGAAGCTCCCTCGAAAAACATGCTCTTAAATTTTTCCAACGACGTTGTAGCATTTTAACTGTAAAAAATAACATTCTTTTATTTACAGGTATTTAGCAACTGGTGCAAGTTTCAATGCATTATCTTTTGTATACCTAATTGGAGCCACAACACTTCGTAATATTGTAAATTCAACGTGTCAATCTGTTGGGAAGCATTGCAATCTGTACTGGAGGAAGAAGAGTGGTATAAAATTGCTGACCAGTTTTTCGAGCGTACTAACTTTCTTAATATTATCGGCGCCGTCGATGGTAAACATGTTAGAATAATGAATCCAAAGCACAGTGGATCTGATTATTTTAACTGTAAAGAATATTTCTCTACGGTTTTGATGGCATGGGTAGACGCAGATTATAAATTCATCTACATTGATGTCGGATCACAAGGAAACGCCAGCGACTCGACGATTTTTAAAAATTCGAATACTGGCAGAACGCACCAAGAGAATTTATTAAATATTCTGATTGGACGAATTCTACCTAATGATGAAAATGGAAAATAATGCCTTTTTGTATTGTAGGTGATGAAGTCTTTGGTCTGTCGAAAAATATCTTACGACCGTTTTCTACGAGAGGACTTACAGTTGCAAAAAGAATCTTTAATTATCGACATACAAGAGCACGTCGAATGGTGGAATGCACATTTGGAATACTGTGTAATAAGTGGAGAATTCTACACAGACCTATCGATGTTAACATAGAATTTTGTGATAAGATTGTAATGGCTTGCTGTACATTACTTAACTATGTACGCGTTAGAGATGGAATTCAATTCACAGATACCGCGTACGAATGTACTCTCAGCAATACGTCTACACATCAACGGCGTCGAAATATGTCCTGTGTCAATATCAGAAGTTATTTTACTTCTTATTTTATTTCACCACAAGGATTCGTACCGTGGCAATATGAAAAAATATAACAAAACATACACATTTAGTTATATTTTTTCATATTGCCATAAGTTACAACTTATGATAATAATAGTTACAATTCACAAGTGCATACGCAATAATTCATTTAAATTTCAATCTTATGTCAATGTGGGTAAATAATAATTCCGCAACGCTCTAGTGATACCTATACCTAACCTATGCAAAACTGTAATTGCCTATCGCTCTAATTTAATCTAATAATTATAAATAAGTAACGTAGTAAAGTATAAAAACGCTAATACAATTACCTGCATTTTCTTTTTGTTCCTGTGATAAACTTCTTGTTGGAAACAAGTGTAATACTATTTAATCCCATAATCTTTTTAAAATTATATCGGAATATTGCTTTAAATTTTTTGCATATAATGCGGGCCTCTTCTCTACCTCCTCTATTAATAATTCATTGTCAATATCTTCCTCTTGCAAAGAAGACGACATCTTTAAAAACAAAACACAGCTACACTTTAAATAGCATACATATACTCCGAACGCGCGGCGCCGGCCGAGTGACAAAAAGTCACCAGTGAGCGGACTTCCATGGTAATGTACAGGGCGAGTGACAGTCACGTCACTCCGGTGTTGCCTGCCGCTGCAACTATTTGTCACCGTATTATCACGTCACCATAATGAGCGCATTCAATATAGTTTTCATTGACTTCATTGATACTTGACCAAGTGACAAAAAGTTACGTCGACAAAAAATTGCAATCAGCGGCGGGGCTTAAAAGAATATTCCGATTCTAATCTAAAAAGCGAAGCTTGGGAAGAAGTAAGCACCGAAGTATTTTTCAATGTTTGGGTAAACCTATCAGCAAAAAAAACCAGAAGCTTCTAACAATTTGTCATATTCAGGTGCAGTCTTCTGTTTTGTTTTTATTCTTTTCGGACAACTTCCCACTTGTCTGTCTTCTTGCAAGTCTTTCAGGATCAGGATCTGTAGCTTCAATATCAGGATCTGTAGCTAAGGACTCTTTTGATGCTGCAACTTCAGGCTCTCTTAACGCAACAACCTTCTGTAGAAACAGAAGTTGTTTAAAAAATATATATTCGCTTTTACGTGGTCCACGGCCAGACCCGGACTCCAAAGATTTTTTTAGGTTCAGTTCTCGTGTGAAGCAACCACGGATACTTTTCCATCTTTTTTGCAAATTATCAGCTGAAAATAGTAAATAAGTTTAGTATACGCGTTTAAATTAATCAAGAAAAACCCTTATAGATAATGATGTTATATTTTCTTCTAGGTATTTTGCGCCAGGATGTTCACTCATGGAACTTTACGACAACTACAGACTCGGTCATACAACAGTTTGCATAATAATTAGAGAAGTGTGCAGCGCTATATGCCAATATCAATAACACTTCATAGATCTTCTAAAGACAGAAGTTGATTGGGAAAAGGTTGCTAGAGGATTTAAAACAATCGCGAACTTCCCCCATTGCATCGGCGCCATTGACGGGAAACACATGAGAGTTATTAAACCGATGCATACTCGATCACTATATTTTAATTATAAGCATTATTTTTCAATCGTATTACTTGCTTTGTGTGATGCTAATTACAATTTTCTATATGATGGAAAAAGCAGCGATTCAGCAATATATAAAGAAAGTACTTTATACACTAATCTCATTAACCAATTTCTACATGATCCTGCGGCAAACCCATTGACAGAAAACGGTGACAATATTCCATACGTAGATAGATAGATAGATAGATAGAAAATTCTTTATTGCACTCAAACTAAACAATTTGGTACAAAGGCGAACTTAATGCCGAAAAGGCATTCTCTGCCAGCTAACCTTTTGTAGTGTGGTGAGAGCTATCTGTAGAGCCGCGAGAGAAAGAAAAACTAACTTATTTATACATACTATTCAAAACGCATTATATAATATTATGTATATGTTAGTTTATACATATATACACTCATACACATATATATATATATATATATATATATATATATATATATATATATATATATATATAGTTATATATATTTTAAATATATACTAAACCAATAAAGCATACGATATAGTATACGAAATTATAATAAACATAATCAATAAAATTAATCAAGTAATTTTAAATAATATGCCTCAAGCTTACGTTTAAATGTATTTATTGAAGGAGCATCTTTTAAATCTCGTGGAAGGTTATTCCAAAGTGTAATTGAATATATCGTGAAGGAATCCGAGTAGTATGCAATTTATGCATCGGGATAGTTAGAGTTTTGTTGGTCATCGAACGGGATAAGCTTAAATATGAAAAACGGTCTTTTATAATATATTATATATATACTATATAAAATATATAAACTAATAAACTGATAACCTGGGGAACAAGGATTGTGAAGAATACTATACAAAGTGGTTAGAAGGTGTGTGTTCCGGCGAAAACGGATGTCGAGCCACTTAAGTCTTGAGCGAAATTGTGATATATGAGTTTTGTACCTCATTAACCTGTAGCACCCAACTTAGATCGTCAGCCAAAATTAAGCCAAGGTTCTTAACCTGCCTAACATATTCTAAATCCTACACCGTTTAGAGTGACCTTAGCTAGGTATTGATAGTCAAGTTGACATGTAATTTTTCTGCTCCCTATGATTATAACCTGTGTTTTGGCAGGATTTAATATTAGCCCATGACATCTTGCCCACTGATGAACTGCAGCAAGATCAGAATTCATTCTGTCAACAGATGAATTTAGGTCATTTAAACTAAAATGCTGATACAGCTGGACATCATCTGCGTACAGGTGATACTTGCTGAAATTTATTACGGAAACAAGTGCATTGATAAACACAGAAAAAAGCAACGGAGATAAAACACCGCCTTGAGGAGCACCAGCAACAACGTTACACCAATCGGAGAACTTATCATCAACACGTATGCGTTGCCGGCGTCCCCGAAGATAGGAACTGAACCATTGTAGAACTGACGATGTTAAATTCAGGGATTTCAAAATTGCTAACAGGATGTCATAGTCAACACAGTTAAAGGCGTTACTGAAGTCCAGAAGGACAAGAAGAGTGAGTTGACGATTATCCATCGCGAAGCGGATATCATCAGTTATTTTAATTAAGGCCGTGGAAGTACTGTGCAGAGATCGGAAACCAGACTGATAAGGATTAAAGAGGTTGTGTTTGTTTAGAAATTTTGAGAGTTGGCCATGAACAACCTTTTCAAGAATTTTGGAGAAGAAGGAGAGGATAGATATTGGCTTATAGTGGCTGAAATTAGTAGAACTATTTTTGGGGACAGGAATCAGGAACGCTTCTTTCCACTTGGTAGGGAAGGTACTGGAGGCAAAGGAGAAATTTATTAGGTGAATGATATGGGAAACTATTTGGTCCAAAATCGGCAAAACCATGTCACGTCCAATATTATCTGGGCCGACAGCTTTGCTGGATATGACGGATGCAATTTTTTTTACTTCATTATCTGTCACTGGTTCAAAACAGAAAGGAGTACAACATGGTAAAGGGAAAGAAGTGATATCTTTAATAGTATCGCTTTTGACTGTTGAGTGCAACGAAACTGGTAAAGAGCAAAAAGTGTTTGTTGAGCGCTGTTAAATCAAGGGACTGACTAACATTCTGTTTGCTTTTACCAAACCCGCCAAAAAATTCTGGGTTGTGCAAGTCTCAATAGTATTGTGAATATGTCGGCGTTTGGCATTTCGTATCACCTGGTTGCAGCGATTTCGTGCTTTTTTTAAATCTTTCCCAGTTCTCATCACTGGGCGAACGTTTATGTTTTCTTTTAAGGCGGTCCCTACGTGCCATAAGAGATCGAATATATGGCGTTAACCAAGGTGCTGGTGCCCGTTTCATTCTTACTGGTCTTAAAGGCGCTGCTTTGTCATAAGCTTTTGTTATAATGTTATTGAGTAACTGCAGTTTATTGTCAATATTATTAGTGTTAGAGGTAAAAGTCTGCCCAATTAGCATTGCGTATATCATAACTTAATAGCTGGCGATTCATACGGACAAGGTTACACTGAAACATAATTTTGGGAGATGATTTAGTGGATTTAAGAACATATGATGCGAAAATCAGATCATGATGGGAAAATCCAGGAGCCACGAATTGACCATATAGAGATATACGATCAGGATCAGATGTAAGGATTAAATCCAGTAAAGAGTTAGTGTTATTGACGTGATAGGTAGATTCGAGGTCAAGAATTTTAATATTGCTTGATGCACTTAAGCGTTTAAGCTTATTCGATCTAGCATCATTTCGAATAAGGCAGGTGTTAAAGTCACCCATGAAAATGGAGTGGGAGTAGTTTGGGAGATGCATCTCAATCAGCTGTTCCAATTCATTGAAATAATTTACAGAAAAAAGGTGCATAAAATGTTCCTAGTAAGAAAGGTGTGTTGCATACCATTATTTCAATAAGAATGTATTCCAATGATTTAGAGTAAACCTCGGGCGATCTGGAAACGATCGTGTATGGTACGTAATAATAGGAGATGAAGCTTTTGCGTTACACGAAAATCTCGTGAGACCAAACGCAGGTGTAGCAGCCAGATTAATCAAACCTAAACGGGAATAAATAAGATATACTCCGCTGCTACCATAACGCGGAAGGCGAGAATAAATAAAAAAAACATTTTATTTCCTAATTATTCTTGGCTACTGAGATACTGCGGACTGTATATAGATAATTTGACGTTCTTATAAAGAAACAAGAAGCAGCCGCAAATATCATTCAGCGCCACACCGACTTCACACGCCGCTATCGTCACGTATCCGTCGACCAATGGTGAGCCGTTTCTTCAACGCCGCAGTTCGTTTCCTCTTGCTGTTCCGGAGCTGTATTCCGCACCGCCGCCGCCCGCCGACTACGCGTGCGCACCGATCTGCATGTCTTATATAGCCCGGTCCAGCGACGTAGCTTCGTGAACAACAAACAAGTCTCACGCCGGGAAACGAAACGTAGATAATTGTATATTTTAAATAGTTTTCATTGGTCATAAAATAAGCAATATAATTGGCTAGGCAAAATATTAATTGTTACCATTGGCAAATCAATAGTGAGCCAGCCATATAAATATAGGCAAGGTTGATGCAAAAGATATTCCATTCCGAATCCCATTCGACAGTACATTCATAAACATAAACAGTAGTTTCATTTCTCCACCTTGAAGAAAACCACTCGGAGTCTGTTAATAGTGGACAGTTCGTCCCCACTATTACACAGGACACAATCTTAGTTACAAACAAAAAATATTCAACTACCGATTATCAAGAGCACGCCGATATATCGAATGTACATTTGGCATTTTATCTGACAAGTGGCGGATTTTTCACAGGCCAATGAATGTACATATGGATTTGGCAAAAGCGGTTGTAAGGACATGTTGCATATTGCACGACTTTGTACGTTCCAGAGATGGCTGTTCTTACAACGATACTCTGACGGTGACAGGATTAGAACCAGGTACAAGTCGAAATCGCGATAGAGGAGGATGAATGGCACTCACAGTTCGAGACAAACTAGCAGATTATTTTGTAACTGATGATCCATTACCATGGCAAGACAAGTATGTATAAATAAATAAAAGTTAATAAAATTACACTCACTTACCTAGTTGTTTTTTTTTCTTGGTTTGTCATTTCGTCTTTTTCTTTAAATATGTTTATTATTTCGTCCCAAGCTTTAATTTTTAAGTTACGGAATCGGAATAATCAATTGATGAACTGTCCCATAAACAAGGACGCTTTTTCAGTATCGAAACTAATTTTTTTCGCATCAAATACAAATAACTATTTGAGCGAGTGTCCAAAATGGCGGCTGACTGGCGACTGAGTGAGGGAGGTGCAGTTTACACGTGTACATTATAGTGGCAACGTCGCCAGGCCGCCAAAGTAGCCAGAAGTCACGTAGGGAACTGTCGCTTGTGGCTACGCTTCCAAATTGGCGACGTTGCCACACCGTCGTCAAGTGAGATAGGTAACATATATTTTAATATTAACTGCTTGGAGGCGTAGCCGGCTACGTCGCCATGGCGTCTTTATGAGGCAGAGGCATTACAATTAAGGTGGCAATAAATGAAGACATGTGACGTGTAAACGGGGATATATTTGCGACTAATTTTTCACGTGGCGGACGCAGCCGCCACACCTATAACTATTATATGTATTACACATACATATATCTGTTATACTTAAATAAGTATGAATATGATGTACCGTAAATGCATACAACATGAGACAGGTTTAAATTTCAATTCACAGTATAAGATGTAATTCTTAATAATTATGGTTTGAAATTTTACTAGAACATGAGTCTCTATCTAAGGTAATAGGAGCATATTGCAATACTGAGCCAATCAATGTAGTTTTTTTTTATATATATTTATTTCGTCTTGTCTCAATTTACCTGCAACATGCGGTAAACATAAGACACCCTATAAAAGTCATGGTTTCCCATGTAGAATTTCAATGTTTGTTAATTGAGACGTTAAAAAATAACAAAATATTGAATTTGCGCAAATTAAAACAATAATAAATCAGTCATAACTAGAGGTATTAAATAAAACAAAATATTATCTCCAAATCTTACCAGATCTTTTACTAGTTCTTCAAAAATCAAATAAAAATTATATAAAATCAAAAACAAAAAACAAACTTCTTCATAAATCGTCAAAAAATAAATCAACATAAATCTCGATTTTGAGACCGAAGGTAATTTGAGATCTCAATTTACCCACATGTCTCAAAAAAACATTGAGAACAAAATTGTAGTCTAAGCTATTAGGAACGTTTTATTGCGATACATAGGCTATACCTAGGCATACCTACGCTTTGAAGTGCGCACAAAATATATTATTTTCCACAATTTTATTAGTCTTATAATTAAATATTAATATTAAAAATGTATTTTCCCCTTTTCACTTGAGTGGGCTTAATTGTATTTATTATTCGAGAAGTGTCAATTGTCATCATGTCATCCACTGCTGGAAATATGTAAATACCCTTTGTAGCTGAAAAACATTTCATGAAGCGACAGGTCACTTTTCCGTCGCTAACCATGTTCGTAATTTGAGCAATAAACTTCTTTTCAGTTTGTTTTTTCGTATTCTCATTGCAGAGTAATTCGACAACAGCAAAAGAATCTGGTGAAATCTCCGAATTATTTACAATTTCTGTATCGATATCTTTAGAGCAACCAGCACCACCATCACTAGGTACAGAAACTTTAAATTGTTCGTCAGTATAGACCGATTGGTCTACATTGAGTGGATCTTCATTTTCTTGGTTCTCATTAGGTGGGATGTTAGTTATAAGTGGTGACGCCGATCTTTCATCATCATCAGGAAACATGTCATGAACATCATCAAAAAACACTGTGTCGAACTCATTATTGTCATCGGATGATGAGTTTGCAGTATTCAAAACTGCTTCCCTCCATTCTTCTAAATCACTGCAGGACGTACTCCACTGTTACACCTTTACTTGTAATTACTGCCACCTTTTTTTTCTTCGGGGCTCTGCTGCATTCTTTTGTTCGCATATCTTCGAGATACATTTTAAACGTTTCTAACCATTGCTGAGATGCATTATTATGGATTTCTGGATCTTCCTGTGTAGGCAATCTATCTAAGACTCTTTTTTTCATTAATTGGATATATCCCAGCTGCTTCAAATCCTGACTTCAAATTTTTTTCCCATATTTTCTATATTATCCAGAGTTTGCTTCAAAAGCCTCGGAAAATACATGCTTCGGCATTACTGCTCTATTTTTTTCCTTCTAAGACAGCAGAACAGACCTCCATTTTATTTTTAATAGTCGAAACACTGCTACATCGAGGGGTTGGCACAACCCCGTACTATTTGCCGGTAAACAAACAAATTTAATATTATAGTCAGTACACTTTTGTATCACATCTAATGAAATATGACTGCTCAGATTGTCACCAATTACAACCATGGGTCCTCTGCCATTAAACGATTCAACATAAGGAATAATGACCTTCAAACACCAATCCTCAAATATTGTAGTGTCAAACCATCCACTCCGAGATCGGTTGTAAACTGTATTTGGAGGTCCTCCTTCCGTCCAAGTATTATATAAATGTTCCGCTTTATAAACGACGTACGGTGGAAGCAGAACACCTGACGCTGTCCCAGCAAACATTACGGAGGTACTTGATTTTGATGAGTCAATGATTTTATGAGCATGCTTGATACCTCGACGTACCAACACTTTCTGGCGTCCCGGGTCATCAGATATATTAGTCTCGTCAAAATTTACTATTGCGGCCGGATCTACATCCTCCAAGGTGGTTTTTAATTCTTGGAAGTATGATTTTAATGTCTCCTGCGTAACTCCAGCTCTTTGGCGTTTAATATTTTCTGAGAGCCTTACAGATAAAGTGCTTTTATGGCGCCGTAGAAAACCTTCCAGCCAATATCGTCCTGATAGTGGATATCCCCAAGCAGCAGCTCTAACGATTGATTGCACAAAGACTTCCTCCAGAGCTTCACTGAAAACTTTAGGACGGCCGACTTTGTTTAATTGTAGCCTTCGGTGTTTTCTATTTAAAGTTGCTCGAGGTATTTTAAATTTTTCTTCCGCTTCCCTCAAAGTCATGCCAGTGTCAACTGCTGCCATAGCAGCTTTCAAAGTGTCCTCACTATAATTTCGGTAGGGTTTCGCCCCGAGAACTCTTCGTCTTCGCGAAGACATAATTACTGAAACAAAAAAAATAATGTATCATCAATAATTATCATAATTACTTGAAATTGAACCACTAACGATTTGAATAAAATTTGAGACATATGCACCTAATTTGACTCATAAGCACCTAATTTGAGACATGGTCTCAATTTTCCATCATAAAAATAAAATGCGTCCAGTTTGAGGAAATTTTAAATTTATTCTGGCAACATTTAACAAATAGTCTAAAACATCACGGCTGGTAATCATTCAGCAAAAATCTATGACCGTATGAAATGCTGTGAGCAATTCATTACATGACGTTTCCCTCGTCCCTCGCACCTCATGCCCCTTCCCTCTGTCGCCATTTTGTCATGTTACTGTCGCTTAGCTGACATTTCTACATGTCATTTATTGTTGTTTTTTATTGTTGTTTGTTGTTTAGAGGTTTTCTTGGATATTTCATTGTTTCCGTGAACTAACAAAATAAACTTTTACTTAGATTTTAGTGCTATTTTACGAAAGGACGTTATAATTTATAAGCTAATTTACTAAAATACGTTTACTGTGTACTAGGTTATATACGACAGGACGTTTCTTTAGCATAAGTGTATTTTAATTTTTAGTTTTAAAATGTGTTTTAAGTGTTGCATTCCCAATTGTGCAAGTAAAAAAGAAGAGATAAAGTTACATAAGTTTCCGTCTGACGAAGACCAACGGAACAAGTGGCTGGACTTTATAAACTGTGACACTCTTAAAAGTATGCATTCCAGTAACCTTAACAAGATGCCGGTTTGTCACAAACATTTTGAAAAAAGGTTTCATACTGTAAAATCTGGCATTAACCTGTAAGCTCTGACAGCGCGCGACATGTTATAATCCCGTTCGCTCGGGACCGTAATGGCGGCAAAATTTGAAAATTAGCAAATTTGTTGCTATATTGCAAATTTTGCTATATTTTCACTTTGAGAAAATATTTATGGATAAAACTTACAGGAATTCTTGTTGAATGTATAAACTATCGAATAAAATTATTTTTGTTTGCTAGAAATTGTAATAAAATACGTAAATTACCCTGTATAGCTGTATAGTGGTATATACTTCAATTTTAGTGACAAAATTACTACTAATTTGAATTCTACACTTTTGTTTTTAGAGAAATTTATATGAAAATGTTTGGAAATATGTATATTTTTATGTTTTATATGTTTCCATTCGTTACTCATACCAAAATATTAAAATATAAAGAAATTAAAAAAAATTAAATAAAAATATTTTATCTGTGTGACATTTAGAACAATATTTCTAAAATAGTTTTGTGTGAATTTGAAATAAATACAACGTCAAGTTATTTGAAATATGTAAGAAAACTATTTTTACTTACATTTTACACTAAAAATAAATGAGAATGTGAAAAATACCACATTTATGACCCAGCCGCCATAATGGGCCTTCCAGATTTTGAAGCACTTTTGGCAATTTACTTTTCACTTTTTATTCCACAAATTATATATATATGTGTTCACTATATTACAAGGAATATAAAAAAGTATAATACTTTCGTTTTTAGTCCAGACACAAATATAAAATTCTATAAAAATGACGGAGCACCTTCATCAAAACGGCACGTGGAACGCCGAAAGTTCAGAGTGATTTCTTTTTTTTTTTCTAAGAAACATTGCCAGGTTATGGTTTAAAATAAAAGAGCATATCTTTGTCTTTGATACTATTATCCATTGCATAGTGTCTTTGGTTTTGTTTAAAACGAAAAAATAGTTTTTTCATAGGTACACATGTTTACATAATTCTGATCAAATTAGATCACTGCTTGGCGGACGTACGGTAGGTACTGTACGATCGAAAGTGCGCATGGCTTGGCTTACAGGTAGAAGACAGCTTATCCCACACTTTTTTCTTTGGAGGAAATTGAATCAGGTTTCTCATCAAGATCATGCAATAACAAAGGTGCGTATATTTAGTTATTCCTTAATAAACATAACTACAATAAGTGTATATATTTATAAAGATAAACAATCCTTTATGTTTTTATTTCAGATGATACAGTTATAATCAAAGGTGCATCACTTAGTGTGATATTTGATCCACCGCACCTTATAAAAGGTATAAGGAATAATTTCCTATCGAAACATATTACAACTGATGGCAAGATATTGTTGATGTATACCTAACGGACTGCAAGCATAGTCAATCTCGATTGTTACACAAACTGAATGATGAGCATGTGATTCCCAACAAAGTTAAAAAAATGAAGGTAATAATCAATAATTATGTAAAATTTATCAGAAAACAATCACCATTCTCAAACCTTAACTAAGAATATATTTTTATTTGAATTAGGTTTTTTATATTTTTGAGCAACTCTCGATTGATCTCCGCCTACACCACTAAAATGAATGAATGAATGTTAATAGGTTGTATTACATTTAACTTATTTTTATATTTTTTACTTTACAGGTGAAGAATTGTGTTAGCAATACTATCATATTTATATTACATTATTAAAATTTGTCTTTGTTTCCGGATGATTCTATAATAAGAATCTACTTTTTTTCATGTTTAAAATGTGTCCGTTTTAATATTTGCGGAAATGGTCAATATGCGAACATATAATATGGCAACATTGCTTAGTAATAGAGATTATGAAGGGAATAGACATTTCCGCGTGGGTTAACAAAAGAGGGGATACAAGACTGAATGGCGCCGATAGTCCGATAGGAGTAACAGTGTTCGGTGGTTAATGGCGGAGACAGGGTGTCGACGGTTTATGGGTGCGCTTTTTGCAAAAGAGAGAGTAAAATGTTAAGTATATTGTTTATTGAAGAGAGTGACTTATACGCTTCTGTCAAAAATACTTGTGAATAGCATAAAGATATAGTAATTAAACATAAAAGTGGTGTGTTAAGAAAGTAATTAAAGTGTAACCGATCCAGATCTTAATTTATTCTTTTATTTCGATGGCTTTCGTCTAATAATTCAGAAATGGGATCAACAAGCTTGCCCTCAGGTATGTTCTATTGTTTTCAATTTAATAAGTTAACTGAGTAATATCTATAATTTACATTCAAATAAAGTCATACATCAGTTTCTGTCGAATATGAAAAATTAAATGGGTTTTTAAATTGTTTCTGTTAGTATTAGTTTTTTTTTTTTAAATATCAATACATCCTATTGTATATGTTTGTTATATACATGATAATAATGATGATGAAGTAATTAAGCACTTCTAATGTGTTCGGATATGTGAAAAGCTCCATGTACTTTAATTACATAGGTGTTTTACTTAATATGCACTATTGTCATGAATTATCTGGGGTATCTATATAGTTTTCTCATCTGGTTGGGTTCTATAAATATACATTATTATTGTTATATAATTTGTAATGAGAATCTAAAACACAATGGACTAACTGCGTTAAAACTTGATGAGAATCTGTTAAATCATAGTTATTCAACAAACCCTACAAACAAAACCATATAGATGATGCCTTTATTCAGAACATATTTTTATCTTGACCCATTTTGTTACATAAAACATACATAACACCTACTAAAGCGGCAGTTGACTGTATAATACATGGCATTTATGGTCATAATATTAATCTTAATGCCCAAGGTGCTAATTTTAAAAGTCCAGACAAACCCCTTAAATATTTGCGCAGTATTTCGATTAAAAACTTCAGCAGGGACTTCAAAAGGCCTGCCTGCTTTTGCATTGAGAGCATCCTCAAGTTCTATAAAAAGGACTGAAAGCAGTAAAGACACTAGACTGTCTTATGCAATAGCTATGTCATGCACTTGCTATAATTGCTCTGAGCTAGGATACATTGCACCTAAGTGCCAAAAGAACTTCAAAAATGCTTAAAATGTAATCGTTTAGGACATAAGACTGAATACTGCAAACGTCATTTCAACATAGAGAACAAGAGATTAACTGTAAATGCAGAGGGTAATGTAATTAGTGTGAAATGCATTACAGCAAGGGGTGAACCGCGAGTTAATATGTATCATAAAATCGTTAAAGTAAACAATACACCAATAACATTTGTAGATTTTGGAAGTCGGTGTACAATCACTAAAAACAGTATAGCTAACAAACTGAGTTTACATTTAAATAGTGATTCTTTGCCCCTTATATTTGCCTTTAGGGGATTTGCTTTTGGTACTTTAACACCTACAGGAAGAGTAAAAAAAAATATTTGTATAGACTTTGTTCAAGCAAATGTCGAAGCTTTTGTGGTGCCAGATGAGTTTTTGAACACCGATATGTTACTGGGACAAAATGTCGCAGAGATGTCTGACGTCGTTGTTTTTAAGAATAATTCAAGTTTAATACTTTATTCAGATAGGGAAGAGGCGGATAAAAGAAAACTATTCTGGAAGACTACTTCGGGGTATGTATATAATCAAAGTGTGTGGCGATATAACACACACAGGGTACATATATTTACTGGTAATATCTCCAAGGGCGAGAAGAAATTATGATTTTACCAGGGGTGTATTACATGAAGGAAAATCTGGGTTACATTCCCGTCATATGTCTCGCAAATAAAGATACTGCACGGGCAGCCCGATACATTACCTACAAAGCCAATAGTTGAATTTCAGATAAATTAACTCAATCGACGGTAGAAAAACCTGATGATATGATAACTATCGACATGTTAAACATTGGCACTGACTTAACGCAGATGCAAGAACATGAACATGTGACTGATAAACGAATTTCGAGACTGCTTTGCATTAAACTTACATAAATTAGGAACAACGGATATAACTGAAATGCACATACAATTACATGACAACACACCAGTATCATACAAACCCTACAGATTATCTTATAGTGAAAGATTAGTTGTACGCAACATAGTTAACGAATTGATGGACGCCAATATAATTTGTGAATCCAACTCATCATATGCAAGCCCAATAGTACTCGTTAAGAAAAAAAATGGAGAACACCGTTTGTGCGTCGACTATCGAGCTCTCAATAAAAAGACCGTAAAAGATTC